TTACAGTCGACCCCCCTATAAGATCATTGATTTTTCCGTTTTATCTGAATTACATGTTGTATGAGTCACTTAGATTTTACAAATATGTGAGCCGTTCACAGCCCGGCACACGTATTTGTAAAATCTAAGTGACTCGTACAACATGTAATTCAGATAAAACGGAAAAATCAATGATCTTATAGGGGGATCGACTGTATAGATTTAGTTTTATTCGATTTCGGCAACGCGACATATGAGCGATCTGCTGAAGGAGGAATATCTCCCGAGCGGTCTTTTATGGGAAACTGGTCCTTATTTAGATGTTACTAATGTGAATAAAACCCGGAAAAGTCAACGTGGCCAGTCCATTGGTGAGGCACGAACTCAAGACCAACTACAAATGTACAGTGGTTTTATCCACTCGGCCACTAATGAACATCTAATTTCAAAACTAGTGTTGAGCAATATATCGTTTCTGGCGATTGAGAAATCGCTGTCACTGCTGGTTACCAATTTCTGAAATCACCGGTGCCTTAATTACTTAATTACAGTGGCGTAGCGTGGGTGTCAGCCGCCCGGGGCGGAGGAAAATTTCGCCCCTCCTTATTTAGGTATCTCAATTTAAAAGACTAAAATTCAGTTTCGTCACAGAATAAGTAATGAAAAATTCCGTGCTCATTTCAATCGATCCGAATCGTAGATGGACGAAAATATGAAATAAAATGGTTCAAATTCTTACAAGATATTATTATTGTTTATTGTGAAATTTTGCCGCCCCCTAAAAAGTGCCGCCCGGGGCGGGCCGCCCCTGCCGAGCGGTCTTTTATGAGAACAATTTATATATGTATTATTAAGGTACAAGATTCGTTCAACACCGAACGAAAGACTGTGTCGAATTGTATTCATAAACAATCGTCTTTCTCGGGAACCGATCTGGTCTAATTTCACTTGGTAACAAAGACCAAGCGGGGGCCGAGAAAGGGAATTAATAACTAATAAAGTAACGATCCGCGAGATCGCAAGATATTTAAGCCCAGGCCACAAGGACACTCGAATCCTTGCCCGCGAGGCTGTCGCTGGCTGGGATGTTTCCCGCAAGGACTTAAAGACTGTCTACTTATAGTGTTAGCTTTGTAATTACTATTTCACACGCGAATACGTTGTTACACGCGAATTTTANATTTAATATTTTATCGTATTTTGTTATTTGAAAGATCTGTCATGTTGAAGTAGAGGGCTTGATGTGACGTCACATAGATCCAAGGTCACGCTAACAAATATACGGGATCTGGCTATCCTTGTAGTTTAAAGTCCTTGTGTAGGGAGCTGTCTGTTTTATTTTGGCAGTACCTGTACTTGCATTTGTCAGATTTTATTAATTTGCGGCAGTATAGGAATTGATTGGCTACAAGAGTGTTATTTGTTTTGATTTTATTATTTTGATTAAATCTTCACGAGAGGTGGTATCGCGCTTTCAGTCGCTGATGGCTTTTTTTTCCTAGCTTGTCTGCGAGTTCGTTAATGTATATGTCCTGTAAGGCTGGGATCCATGCAAAGATGATTTGTATACCTGTTTGTTGGCTCTGAGTGATAATGGTCTGTGATAAATGGTCTTCCCGCTCTGTGGACACTGAGAGCCTCTTGTTTAGCAAATCCATTATGGGTTCGGCCAGGCCCACAATGGAGCGGCCGGGTGATGAGGGATGGAGGCCGACATATCCGGTTAAACTACCCACCGAAAGATTCCTGGGGATTTATCGACTCGTCTGGATTCGATCCCGGGTCCCCCACGGTGGTAGGTTACCCTTTTCACCACTTGGCCATCAGGCCGTCATATATAGTATATCTGTTTAATAAATATGTGCATTTGCATTTTTCAATGTTGTATTTTATTGCGTAATATATGTATGAGACAATATAATCCGAAAACCATAGCTCATCCTCTGAAGAATTCAAAATATATGCTCGCCACCTCAAATTAGTAGTGGCTTGCACCTGTACATCCTTTTCCTCTAACAAAAGTTGTAGCCTAAAGCCGTTCTGTTTTTCCCTATAACTGGAGGGTTTTAGGATAGGATAACAGAAGCTAAAGAAATAAGGTAGCTTCCTTTTCTTAATTGCATTTTAAACAATTTCCTTTTTAATTTTCTTTTTTGTTCTTTGATTCGTCTCCTCTTTCTCTTTCCTTTATGAGCGACGATGTCAAAGTCTGGTGTCTCTGGCTCAACACTTATGTCAGTGGCGGAGCAAGACGTAAATTTGACGTGGGCAAGGTACATTTCGCGAGGCCCTCTGGTGGCGCAAGAAGACGGATTTTATAAAATAAAAAGCAGTTGAAACTGTCAAATTTTTATTCATAAAAATGCAAACTATATTCTTTGACTAACATTAAAGAAAAATTAAAAATAAAAATAAAAGAATTAAAGAAACAGAAATTTCCTGCTTTTAGCCTTACCGAACTCCTTAATAATTCTATCGTAATTCAGCTTAGATGCTATATATGCTTCAATAGATAAAACTGCGAAAGCTGAAAGTCTTTCCTGACCCATTGTATTTCTTAAATAATTTTTTATTAGTTTTAATTTTGAAAAGCTCCTTTCAGCGTAGGCAGTACTTACCGGTATTGTTAACAAAATTCGAATGACAATGGAAATATTTGGGTAAATTTCTTTCAAGTTATTTTCTGTTATGTATTGGAGCAGCTGTTTCACATTTTTAATGAAGTTGGGTAAATTTGGGATCATTGTTTGTAATTCTTCATATAATTCGTAAGGTTGGAAGTCACTGCTCTCACCCACTCGCAGGACTGAGTGTAAATCTTGACAGTTTTTTAATATTTGCTCTTTTGGAATATTTTTTAACTCGCTTAGATCATAGAGAAAACCAAAATTTTCAAAATGTCGATTTAAAGACATAAATCTCGAATCCATATTGCTTATTATAGAACCAATCGTGGTGTTAAATAAGTCTATTAAGTTACCAGAATTCCTAGTGCCGTCGTCTGTCTTGAGAGATTCTCTGTGACCTCTTAATGCCAGATTATGAGAGTATAAGAAATTAATGATATCAATTAATCTCTCAAACAAATTGTGCTAATGTTTTTGAGATTCACGAATTAGCCTTTCGTTTTCTTGGTCTCTTATGTCAATATATTTATCGTTTTATGACGAGTAAAAATTTTCCGTTGCTCACAGCTTTTTTAAGTAATGCGTAAACCTTCGAGGCGCGAGGCCCCTCGGACCGCGAGGCCTTAGGCGGTGGCCCACGTCGCCCACGCCTTACGCCGCCTCTGACTTATGTAACTTGTTTTTCGTTGTTTGTTAATTTATTAAATTATACCTTTGCTTATTAAATGCGAACTAATTCTAGACCTCACATTTATTCACTGAAACTATTTTTTAATCAGTGCAGAATCTCAACAATTTTGGTATTTCAGTTACATGCTTTTATTGTAAATTAGACTGAAAACTAGATTTCTTCTCATACATAATTTGCAGAGAGAAAGAGAATAAATAAACACTATGGCTTCACGCTGAACACAACAACACGCCATTACAACCTCACTTTCAATGATACTGTACGTTATCGGCATTCTAATTGGGACACAAAGAACACTTTGACAACGCACTCAAAACACCATAAACTGTATATAATTTTGTGATCATTCTGTAAACTTGGCCTAGAGGTTAAGATATCAGCTTACTGCTGTGAGGATCGGTAAACCCCAGGAATTTTTCGGGAGTAGACAGTCAGTCCCGGATATGTCTTGCCCTTCATCACCCTTCGCTCTATTATGGATCTGGACGAACCTATAATAGGCTTAATTAAAAGGACTCTGTTAGTACCAATAGGGCGGGAAGAATAAAGAAAAACAGTATGCAAGCTAACAAATTAATGGATAGTGTTTAAAATCTAATTAATGCTGCATATTTCAGTTAGTAAACATTTTACACATTTCACAATTATTCAATTTTGACTTTTTTTTAATCAAATAAAAATTATTCAGAACAAGAAAAATCTTAATTATAGGGCTCAATCTATACAAAATAAAATTATACCAATGACAACTGACGATGATAATTTAGAAACTATCGTATTATTTTCTTTTATATCTTTCTAAAATAAGAATTACTCTTTTTTCGAAATAAATCTTCATCTATCATTCGTCTAATCTATTCGAATTAAATATTAAAACCTTATTACTTTTGCACAAATTTAAAACGTTTCATTGTTGTTATAAATAGTACAAGTTAAAAACGACCAATCTAATACGACAACATACCGTATTACTACAATGTTAATACATTAATTTGCCTTAATGTATATTGATATCCTTTTGAAATTTAAACAAACGATTGAGAAATTTCTATAATAGAAGTTTGGCAAGAAAGAAAATTTCTTCTTCCCTATAAATTCCAAAAATGGATAATGCTCCTACCACGCCCTTACGACTTTGACCTAGCTTCTATTTATAATGAAAAGTCTACCGATTCCACATTCATCCTTTATGTAATCTATACACATAAAAGACAAAATTTGTATGTATATTAGATAAAGGCTTTTATACCGTTCAACGTATCCGCACCAAAGTTCGCACGAGTATTCTCTAGAAAATATGTATTGTGGGGTCTCCACTCCCAATCATCTCTAAAACCCAAGCAATTTTTATGTTGTAGTTTCATTACTGTGATTATTCGGCTCAATAAATGTACATTTAAGTTTTGTTAAGATTTTATATACCGTTATCGAGATACTCAACTTTGAATTTGCATATTTTAACGAGACATCTTATGGGCAACTAATTCAAAAAACGCCTATTTTTGTTAATAAAATAAATTTTCTTACCGTTAATTTAAAAAAACTATTATTTTACGTAGATTTTTATGTGAACATTTTTGGTGTGATTATTCATTGGATGTAAAAAAACAAATACGAAAATATATACTGACAATATTTTATTTACTACATAAAAGTCAGTAATTTTATTTAATAAATATCGATTAAAAAAATATATTTATTCGCATTTTAAGTGATTTGGTATTTTAAATACTGTATCATACAGTGACTTAGACAAAAATGATACTCGTTCAAAAATATTTTTAAGATTAATAATGATAATTTTCAATAATAATGACACATTTAAATCTAATAAAGCTTAGTTGAGTTACGGCAACGCAACATTTGGGCGACCTGCCTAGGGGAATGCCTTTTTAAGGGAAACTGGCCCCTATTTAGGCGTGCAGATATCGAGAAAACCCTGAAAACTCCACGTAGACAGCCTGTCCAAGCGAGGCGCGAACCTATAACCGAACTCCCAGTGTTCAGGGTACGAAGACCACTTGACCACTGGTAGGCCTTAGTTAATACAGTGGTACCTCAGGTTACGAACGCCCCAGCATATGAAATTTTCAGGATACGACATGAAATTCGAACATATTTTTGCTCCACGATACGAACAAAAACTCACCATACGACGTTACATTAGTTCGCATTTTTCATTTGTTTTTCTTACTACAGTTATTTTTTTAAATGTATTACTTGGCTTTAATTTGAGTATGTTTTTCGCGTTGGAACGAATTATTTGGTTTTACATGTAATCGTATGGGAAAAGATGATCCACCTTACGACATTTTCATGATACGATCTCAGTTTCGGAACGGATTAATTTCGTATCCTGAGGTACCACTGTATAGGAAACGTATTTTTTCGTTGTTGATTTTTCTCGATAAACTCGATAATTTATGGACCTACGGGTTTAAAAGGTTGCGTTATGGGGGTTATGGGGTTGAAAAGTTTACATTGTAAGCCACGGGATTTAAATGCTTAGATCATTGAGTTATATGGATTTAAAAGCTTAGATTATTGAGTGGGATTCTGCTTTCACAAAATTCTATACCTCAACTTTTAAAGAACCGACACGTATGGGCGTGAGCGCCTGACATATTTGAGACAAACTGCCGCCGAAAAATTTCCAGGTCCCAGTATGCTGACAAACTTTGTAGAGATTTTTTTTATTTTTGACTCTCCGCCCTGTGAGCACTAAAAGGACCTTTCTTCATACCCTTATTGCTTCGGCTAACCCATAACGAGAATTGTTGGCCGACGCCGAGCGGTCAAGATGGTAACCTACCGCTTTGGGGGATCGAATCCGAAAAAATCCCTAGGAATTTTTTTGGGTTGATGATCCATCTGGATATCTCTTGGACATCGTGGCTTTCTGATTGGTAAGCTGACATCTTAACTGTCTCCGCCATCAGGCCAACTTCGTAAGCTTAACGTGTTTTACATTTTTTTCAAGTTTGTTCTGATTACAGTTCCTTCTCAAAAAAATTGTTCCTTGAATACGTTATTGTTGAAATGCCCTGCTTTGGAACAGTGGTGTTTTACTGCGAATAATTTCTGCAGGAAGGAACATCAATCCACACTAATGCTTGCCTTATCAAATCAATATTTTACACCAAATCATTATTTCATCAATTCCATAGACACGTTTCGAGAAATTTTCCTTTCTCTTTAGTATTGCGCCCGGAAGGGGTAATTTTTCTATTTAACAATACAGTTTTATAATTTTTGGTGCAGATTGATGTTCCTTCCTACAGAAATGATTTTCATTGGTCATAATAATTGAATTAAAAATGAACTGCAGAGAAGTTTTGTTTTTGTTCTTTCATTGCCTTGGGATTTTCAAGCATATCGTGAGTTTGGCCAAGCTCACTATGGATCGGCATGGCGGTGAGAGACGAAGCCCGACATATCCAATACAGACTACCAGAGCCGTAACTAGAATTTTGGACGCCTATGGCCAAGAATAAAAATGGCGCCTTTTTAATTTTATTATTAAAAATAAAAAATAAAAATTTTTTTCTAAAAAATGCTATTGTAAAAAATTATCTAATCACATTTAAATACTATATAAATATAAATATAAAAGTTTTTTGTGTTATTAATTTCTAATACATATTATTTCGAAACCTTCTCGTTGGCGCCTTTATTAAATCGGCACCTATGGCGGGGGCCACATTGGCCATACCCTCGTTATGACTCTGCAGACTACCTCGAAAAATTCCTATGGTTGCTTGCCAGATTTTGATCCTGGATTCCTCAGAACGGTGGGCTGATGCCTTAACAGCCTCGGGCATTCGGCTTACAGTTAATCAAACTTTGAAGCACACTCTTTAACAAGTTAACTTCTTTATGAGGAAGGCCGATATTCAGTTATATTCAATATAATAATCAACATCAAGAATATGAATAAACATTTATGTATATATTAATACATATCGACATTATCCACCCGCGATATTCTAAAAAACAAATACTGTACAGTACAGTAGAGCGTCGTTAACCCGAAAGTCGGTTATCCGAAAGAATTCCAGTCGGCAAATTTAAATTTTTGTTAGTGCCTTGGCGCTGCAATCTTTGGTTATATCTTGGGCTACTTCAATATTTTTTATGTTTGTGTATGTGTTTTAGCTGGCAGCACTGTCACTTTTGTGCGGTGTTTTTTCGAGGACTGTGTGTCATGCTGAATCTAACGTTTTTGATACTAGATAACTTCTAAAGTATAATTTTTTTTTGTTTTTATATTTTTCAATATATTTATTTTGTTTGTAAAAAATAAAAAAATAATTTTTAACGATGCAATCGCCACGATTATTATTTTAAAAAGTTTACCTTAGGCTTAACATCGACGAAAATTCAACCCGAAGCGACACGCAACGGAGAAAAATTTCAACACGGGATAGGTTAATGTATTTTTTCGTACATAATCGGTTATCTGAAAAATAAGTTATCCGAACAACCCCAGTCCCCAATTGATTCGGATAAACGACGCTCTACTGTATGACATTGCACCAGGTTATGCTTCAATGACAAAAATCTATTATTTGAACTTAAATTTAATTTGCTATTAGATTTTACCATTATTAATATATTATATTATTCAATAATTTATTTTCTAATAATAAATTCTGGATAAAGTTAAAATTTCACGAATTTGTTATATTTAAATTACGAAAATGGCGCCTCTAGCGTCGACAATAATATGTAAAGTTAAGTAGTAAAACTTTGATAATACGAAAATGTAATGGATTGTTTAAGGTTCTTTGGCGGATTTTCTTAACAAGAAATGTTTTTTTGATAGTTAATAATTACGGTAAGAATTGGTGCAGTAGATTATCAAAGTTATGTAATGTTAATTATAACCCAACGTTTGAATAGTTATCTACCGGTTCCATATTTTTTGAAACGTGTTTTAAGTATATACTAATACAGCAAGGATTGTTTTTGTTCTTACTATATCATATATTATCGTTAAATCTAACTAATTAAATAACAATATAATGGTGTTCTGTGTTTCAAAACGAATCAAGTTATTTTGTGATGTCACACAGGCAGTTTTTATTACTTTAATTACAATATCATACTTCAAATTAATTCTTCGAAGAGTTAATGTTAATGTCAAATCCCAAATAATTAAAACTTCAATTCTTTCATATTAAAAAATTTATGTGAAATTTTTAGTGCTTAAATGTTTTTTGTCATATACAGTATAAACAATCCAAAGCCTACTGTATTAATAATAAACCAAATGACACCCAAATAGACCAAACCAAATAGCCTGATTAATTAAGACTGTTGTTTGGTTTATTTACTTTTGTTTCTGTTACATATAAAATTATGTTTGTTTTTTATAAATTAAATTCAAATTATAGTACAGACATAGGCAAATGCAGCTCTCTTTGAGTTGCATGCAGTTCTTGCTGAAAGTGTTAATTTCTGCTTATTATTATTATCACAATTTTTGAAAATTTTTGCACAAAACAAGTTAGTTTCTATGCAGAATTTAATACTTTTGAAATTATCAATGAATTATAATTAAAAGCTACTCTCCCGCCGTTGTGACTGTGGCTCCGTCTGGTAAGAGCTCTCTTACGTGACTCATCGCAACCACCAGACTAATTTTATTGTTTGTTTTTTTTTAAATTAATTTAATTATCATTAAATATACGGATTATAATTATTAAATATACCGATAAATTTTANTTTTATATTATATAATAAAATTGCAGTACAGAACTGTGGTACAGAATTAAAAAAAAGTACAGAACTGCAGCTCCCATGCATTTTGCAAAACCTACATTTCATCTCCCACTGAACTCTTGCTTGCCCACCCCTGTTATAGTATTATAAGCTTTATGTCTACAGTACTGAGTAAATATAGAAGCATATTTACACTGCCATAACAATTTTTAGAGAAATCACACACCTTTCCATTTTTAATTAACTCTAGTGCTCCAGAATGAATTTTGATGATATTTTTGCCCCTTGGATTACATATTCTATTTTGAACTTTACAGTATAAATTTATTTATTTATAAATAAGAGGGTGAAAATATTGCCAAAATGCATTCTGGAGCATCAAGTATTAATTAAAAAAAGGGAAAGATGTGCGATTTGTCTAAAAATTGTAACTGAAATGTAAGTATGGTTCTATAGTTACTTAGTACCTTCAAATTATAGTGTTCTGCACTAATTATATTATATTGTTTGAGTATAATCGAAAAATATATTTTGAGATTATGATAACTTTTTTTAATTATTCAAATTAAATGTAAATACTTTTATCTATTTTTTATTATTACATTACTCTATCATGTGGATTGTTTAAGACATACTTTTATCTAGCATATATAAGAGTTGAAATATAGAATTCCAAGTGGTGTTCATGTTTATTAATTATTTGAGTTATATATCTTTGTTGGATTCATTAGCTGATGATGGTGTTAATATGTTTGGAAGATTTGCCTACTTTTCATTCTGTCTTTATCCATAAAGCTACTGCCAAGTGATCAAAATACCAATTACATAAAACTCATTTTTAAATCAGCAATCAGTCACTTTAATGCAAAATAAGCAAATGTTTTTGGTCATTTTCAACAGCTATCATCAGACTAATATACAGCTCTAATGTTATTCAAATGTAATGAAGGTTACCTTTGAATAACATTTGATTTGTACATTAGCCTGTGATGGCTATTCAAAATGGCTGAAAATGTTTGCTTATTTTGCATTAAAGTGCCTGATTGCTGATTTAAAAAGTTTTATGTAGTTAGTATTCTGTCTATAATTTATATTACAGTAGAACTCCAATTATTTGAACTTTACTTAACTTTAATCTCGATTAACTGAAACAATCTAGGTTATTTATGCTTAATTCTAAAACAGTACAAATCAATATAAATAGAATGTTTAAGTATTAACTAAAAAAATCATACAATTTTACTTTTTGGAGTGGGATGGGTGGAGTGAAAGTTGAAGAATGATAGCATTAATCATTTTTAAATTTCTTCATTCAATTGTAGAAATCTGTCAAATAAAATCTGAAAATATAAATTTTATTGATTATCCTTAAAACTATATTCAGGCCACTAGTTGTTCTGTTTGTTTAATTTCAATAAGCAATTTGGAAATATATATAAAGTTCTAAATTTACTATTTATCTAACATCATATATAAACAAGTAGAAGTATTTAATATAACATAAACATAATGAGTAATTTAATAAATTAGAGATCAGTGTTTGGGCAATTTTAATGAGTTAATATATGTATGAGATACATTACAAAATGAAAAAAAATTTGAATTATTCCTTTGATAAAATTTTTGTCAAGAAATTGAAAAATAAACATCTGAACTCTTATGATCTGGACAGTCAAGAAAAATATTCTCGAGACTTCAGAAATATATACATCTTTATGATTAAGCTGAAAATGAGATTCTAAATATTGAAAATGTTTATCATGGTTTTGTTTTACTATTTTAATTTTATAAAATTGAAAAAGTATATATAAATTATAAGAGTTTATTTAATGATTATAAACTTAAATAGCAGATAAATAAGATTTGTTTATAAAGATTTAATTAATAAAAACAATTTTTTTTTTTATTCCGATTCCGTGTTTTAATACAGCATAATAAAAAACAATAAAGCATAACAAAAACAAAATATCTAACCTGGAAATTATAATTTATGAGCTGAAATATGGTAAATTAATAATCTTACGAAGATTGTTGTGTTATACCAAATAGCTGTATTATTTGAGTTATTTCAGGGTTAAATTTAATTAAATTAGCAAAATATTTGTTAGCCTACTAAAGGTAAACAATGCCACCATTTCAAAAAGTTAATGATTATAATTTCTTTTAAATTAAGAATTTCAAACTATCTGAAAAAAAGATCTGGGAGTATATTCTAATGTTCAATTATGACTGTTAAAAGTTACACTGGGTCCCTGTACAGTATTCCTTACTACATATTGTAAAAATAATTTTCTAATTAAATACTTTAAATACTTTCATACCATTTGCTATCTCCCCTTCAACTCATGCTTATCTCAAGATCATTAGAGAAATTTTAAAATGTGATTTGAATTTGCCCTAATGTTAATTAATTTAGTAAATTAAGAGAAAATCTTTTAAATTCAATTATTAATAATTTTGTTACTAAAAAACTGGTTTTGTTTTCTTCTGTTGTCATGTCTGCAAATTATGAATCAGTTGTAAGTTTTTAAATTTAACTGAACTGTGTTGTTATTTATTTTTTTTGTATCCATGTCAATTTGAAAAGCAATTTAATACAGTTTATCTTATAGATATTCTGATAAAGCATATTATCTTTCATTTATATGAAATTTAAGTAATTGTATAGTAACTAAATTTTTGTGTAATTTTATTTTATTGCTTTAGACATTGGAATAATTACTAATAATTTATAATTAGAAAATCTGTCAAAATGTCACTGTATGATGGATTGGGTCTCGATACAAAAGAAAAAGGACACAAAGACCAAAAGTCTGATTTGAGTAAGATTGAACATTGTTAAGTAATTTTTTTGAAGATTTGAATTTATTAAAATATACATCTTCAAATCTTAATCTTAAAATTTACTAAGGTTTAAATTGAATTTTATTTATATTTTTAGTGGGCTGGTCTTCAGGAATCAAATTACTTCAGTCTCAACTTCAGTTGAAAAAAGCTGCATTGACTCAAGCAAAGGTAACATTTTCTTCAGTTAAGGTAATAAAGAATGTTTTTATTTTGTTAGTGCATTTGATAATGATAAGTTAAATACATAACTATTGAATGACCTATTAAATTATGTTCCAATGGGAATAATATAATTGGCTGCAACAAAAACAGCATAAATTCTCTTACACATAGGCTATGTTTAATTTATAACAAAAAAATGACTTTACTAAAACATTTCACACAACACTAAAAATATGAAATTTTTTGTAAATTAATTAATATTTATTGTGTATAATACACAATAAATAATAATTTAATACAATAAGATATATAACAGGCTTTCAAACACTTGTTTGGTATGTTGTGGCTTTGCACCATCTTGCATAAACAAAGTCTAAAGATATTTATGCTTAATATACATTTTGGGATAAAATTTATTTGTTAATAATTCAATATACGTAGCAAAAGTAACATTCTTTTTAAAGAAAAATTATCCAATAATTTCTTTAGCACTGATGGAACATCAAACTTATTGTTTTGAGATGCGGAGGCTAATTATAGGAAGACATGAATCTCTTCATCCCAATATTTGTAATTTTTCTGATTAACATAGCCTTACAAATAAAAAAATGAGTTCTATCAGAGAAATAAATATAATCCATATTGATTTCTTTGCTTTCAATCATGATAGAAATAAAATTACTGAATCTCAATTTTTGTTTAAGATCATGCTCCTTTAATGGTTGTTGAACTTGAATTTATAGGGAACAAGTTTGATTCCTTTTTTTACAATATTTCTGGCAGAAGAATAAGACAGGTCCCATTTTTATGCCATATCATATTAATGTAGTCTTTTCAAATATTACTTTAGCACAATTCATATTTTTTGGAGTGGCCACTGTAGCTTGATGATCTTTTCCTTATTGTATATCCTCTGCACTTCCAGTTTCTTCATATTTAGCAATAAAAAAGTTTAGACATTTAAAATTTAATTAGAATTTTGGTCTAGCTTTGATTCTTAATTACTTACTTTAATATTGTCAAAGCGGCAGGAATTTCACTTTTGCCAAATTTTCTTTATATTCTTGCAAAACAATAGTAGCGGAATTAGAATTTTGATGATAATTCTGTACAAAAACTACAAGTGTTCTAGTTAGTTTTATCATTTTGAAAATGATTGTAAACCTAAATTAACATTACTTGTAAAAATATAAATGTTGTAGTATAATATGCTTGTTCAATTTTTTTTCCTATTTCAATCCATTAGACTTATTAAAATATAGTTTTTCAAGAATTAAAACTCATTCATTGAACAAATAATAAAAGTACACATTTATCATATTCATGTTTTAATTTTATTATACACTCAATTTTATCATTTAATTTGAAATTATATATGTGTATAGTATAACTTATCCACTTTCAAAAATTCTTTAACAATTATATATTAAGTAATTCACAAAATTTTAAATTTAAAAAAAAAAATTATAATTGATGACTTTTCAGTTTAAAATATTTCATACAAAAATAGTTAGGGCAAGAAAAAAATGAATATTTTGGAAGAAATATTAATATGATTTAATATATTGGTAACTTGTTCAATTTAAGATAAGTAATATGTTTCAGAATATTTTCTTGTATTGATCATTTGATGCAGTATTATAGTGTTTGGCAGTATGCTATATGTGATTGCAGTATATAGTAATATTTAATATATTTTTATAAGAATATTTTAAAATTATCTCAAAGTCCATTGTAAAAGGCAATTTCTATAAATTTAAAGCTGTTTTTGCTATAATATCTGTTGAAAAGTATTGTATAAAACTAATAAACATGTTTCAGTGAAATATAAATTAAATTGTTTTATAACACTTCTGTAAAATATCGTACAAATTTAATTTAATATTGTTACATATATAATTTTAAATTATTAGTGTTAAATTATATAATGCTTTAAAATAATATTTTAAAATATTGAATTTTAGAAGTTAGATAGTATTATAAAATATACATATGTATAATTTAAGATAAATTTCTTTCAACAATAATTATATATTACAGTGTTTATATATTATTGATTATATGTTTATCAGGTTGTAAAGGTGATATTTAAATATATACAAACATCGCTAAAACCTGATATATAATATAGCTACACACCAACCGAATGCTGAAAATCTATCGGGCTAGTATAAGGCTAGTTATTAAATGAATAATTATTTAAATTAATTAATTTATTTATAATTATTAATGTTAATAAGAGATGGCGCCTAACGCTTACCTCTAGTGCCAAATTGGTTACATAATTCATTTAATAACTAGCCTTATACTAGCCCAATAGATTTTCGGCATTCGGTTGGTGTGTAGTGATATTTAAATGTTTTTAAAAAACATTATTGACAATTAATTCAATAATGATTACAGTTCACCCTGGTAAATAATTACGAGGTAGATGTTCAGATGATCCAGTTGTTCATAGTAGAGTTCTTTTATGACAGTGATGTTGGTTGGAAGCAGCTCCATCGTGACAATACCAAACAAATGCAGATCATAGATCTTCTTCAGAACTATTGGCCCTTTGACATTTGCAACAGCTGGTTGACCTTTATTCATCGATGGAGACTTTAACAAATGCTTTGCTGATGAGATCATGAGCCTTTGTTGCTTTAATGGCCATTTTTGAAGTGATAAGAGTTACAGCATGCAAATCACAACCACTGCTGTAAATCATCATGCTATAAAAAATAACTAATAACTAATTTGGAAAAAATAATTAAAAATTAATTTGGAATAAATTATTTATTCCAAATTAATTATAATTATTTATAATTATTAAAAAAAATAATTATAAATTCATTTATAATTAAAAATTATAAATGAATTTCCAATGAAATGCCCTTTGATTACTCTACTTAAATAATCACATCTAACATCCCAGAACATTTGTTTTTTTCCAGTCATTTCTATAAAGTCAAAATGTCTAAATTTTACCTTTATAAACTTATTTATTTATTTATATTAATTATATTTATTTATTAACTATAATTTCAAATAAGCAAAATAATAAACTTTGTTTTTATTTAGAGAGAACAATTCAGAAAAGGTGCAGTATTAGCTCCTGTTGTCAATCTAAAGTCTCGAAGAGATGATCAAGATGAAATGCCACCTCCTCCAGCAATCTCAATAATTCCAAATAAAGTAAAAGCACATTATATAGTAATATGTTGAATAGTTTTCAATATTTTATTTATTTACTTAACTAATTTTTTGAAAGAACTAAATTATCATATTGAATTATTCTATTAGGAAGGTAAAAGTCCCATAACAACTGGATCATTACTTGGAGGAGAGTGGGATATTCGTCAAGAGTATGATCCTGCATGGCCTAATGATTATGAAAAAATAATGAGGGAAAAGAGAGAGAAGAAAGACAGAGATCGAGGAGATGATCGTCATAAACATTCTGAAGATAAAGATAGGTATTTATTAATTTTAATATTTTTTTATAATATGGCTCTCTTAATTATAAATTATATCTACAATACATACAAATCATTATAAATCAAATTGCTTGGTAAAAAGCATTTGATCATATTTAAAATTTTTCAAGTTTTTTTGTTGAATTTCATTATGTATTTGTTAAAAAAACTAAACATTTTTTAATGTGAATAGGATGCACACAAATTATATCTAGACTGTAAAAGTAAGAACAGTTATCATATTTAATGATGATACAATAATGATATTTCCTTTTCATGAGATGTATTAGGGATATTTACTTATTAAATCTAAAGTTTTTCAAAAGTATGAAAATTACTTATTTAAAAATAGATAAGTAAAAATATCTAATTAATCCTATTAACAAAAATAATTATTAATCTGCTAATATGAATGAAATGGAGTTATAAAGATCATTATTAATACAGATACATAACCAAATGATCACCTTAAGTAATCAGGCTATAAATCCACTATTTAATGATTAAACACTAAGTAATTTGTTACTAGAGGTAGATGTTAGGTCCCATCTCTTATCTAAATTAATAATTATAGTTTTAATAATTTATTAAATACTTTTAGAATCATCTGGGAGAAAAGAATTGGCCTTTTAATGCAGATAAAATACAAACAAGTTTGTATTTTCCGGTGTAGTTTAATGCAGAAAATACAAACAAGTTTGTATTTTCTGCATTAAACTACACCGGAATTGCATTTATAAGGTTCACCAGTTGTTTTTTCTAACATACTTTATTCCAGTCTTATGGGGTGTGAACTATAGATTGTCTATCTTCAGGTTGAAGGCATCATTATCATTTTTTATGGTTTGAATTATATTTATTTGGTTTCTTTCTTTGAGATTGTCAAGTTAGTTATGAGATTAATAGATTATCATAGTAAATTCAAGAGAGATTGTGTGTATTTAGTGTATTATTCTGCAATCACTACATTCAGCTGAATAGGTGTTTCTTCGTATTCATATAATGTTACTTAGAAGTGCAAAGCATAGTTTCCTCATGAAAATTGTATGTAAACAGAGTTTTAAATTTTGATGATTTTATCCCCTATTTATCTATCATGTATAAACTAATTTGTGCATTAGGTACATGCATGAAGAGACTATTTTATGATGCATAATTACTAGGCTGGTTGGAATGATGCAAATTGTGTTAATTAGTTTTCCATTTCTACATTACAATTTTTCAAATTAGAATGTAAAAGATTCTTTATAAATAATAGTAAATCTTTTCAAGTGATATAAATTTTCTACTTTTACTTTAGTAAATTTTCCACAATTTTTAAAATATTTAATCAATTAGAACTCAAAATTAATAAAGATTACATTTTATTATCATCAGATTTTTTAATAAAAAGATATTATGAAATATTTAATAAAATGTAATAATTGGGCTACAATTTATAGGTCTACAATTTTTTCAAATTGTAGACCTATAAATTTCCATGGTTATCTGTTTATCTGTCCTTCCTTAATCTCTAGAATAGTATTAGATAAATGAAAGTCAAGATCAGATATGGAAAGCTTAGAGGCAGGAAACCCCAATTAAGTATGTACAAACTTCCAGTCTAGACCAGAAGTTATGTGAATTCAATTAAAAAATTTTCCCAATTGGAGTTATATAGATGACCAGCATGACTGTTGTTATCAGGTAAAATATTATGTACAGAGACAAGATATTGCAAATTTGAGATGGTGAACATATATTTTAAATTGAATAAATTAAGAATATAATTAAAAATTGCAGCCCAGCATTGTGATGATGTCATAATAAATAACTGCTCATTTTACATATTAATTTATCTAATTTTCTCTGTGTGAAAAAGTTTAGAAAATGTATCATAATAATTATTTATTACAGAGATTCTGGTCATCCATATGGCAATAAACATGGTAGGAGAAGAAGAGAGAGAGAGAGGGATAAAGAAAGAAATAGGGAAATGATAGAAAGAAATCGTGAGGAAGAAGCTGAAGATGAGAGAGCAAATAAAAGAGGTATTTCTTTATTATTACAGATCATTTTATTAATTTACTACTATATTTTCTCAATTCTAAAATGTGCTATAAGCTTCTTGAATTTTAAGATTTTTTTTAATGGAGGAAAAAATTTTTAAATAATTAACTTTATAAGTTTTGTTAAGCAACTAGTTATAACAATACAAATACTATGAAGTAGATAATATTCAGTAGCTGTATTTTCTTGTTGTTCTGCATATACAATGTTTTCTTTTAATGCTGTATCATAATGTTATCCTGGGGACATTATAAAGATTAAATTAAATGCCTATTACTAACAAAACTCACTTGAACTGATGTGAATATTAGTAGTACAGTACATCCAAAAATGATTTTTATTGGTGTATAATGCACCAATAACAACATTTACAGATGTACCAAAAGTTTTAGCATTTTGTAACACATTATCCAGATTCACATCACTTTTGGTCAAAAGTTGATATTAATCTGAATAATGTGTTACAAAATTCTGAAGTATTTCTTTACAAAAAAGAATTATCCAATACTTGTTATCTTGGGGTATGTTCGTAAAGTCAAACAAGTCAAACGCATTAGTAATGAATCATTCGAAAAGTAGTCGTCTCACTCAGTGCGCATGCTCTGCGGTGATGAAGTTTCAAACGAAACTCTAATGAAGTTCATGAAGGAAAGAGTTAGTTTACTTCGTTAAAGAAATGGCACCCAACGATATCAATGTTTCTAAATCTACTCGAGTGTTTAAATTGTGAATTAAAGGGTGAAATGATTGAAATAACTGTCCACCCGAAGCAATCTAAGAAAAATATTTCAGATAAGGCTGCACTAGTAACGTTCATATCTTCGATTTTAGAAACATCAGTTAGTTATAAACGAATCGTTCGAAAAGTCTAACAAAATAAGGATAACAATGACATCATTCTTGTTTAACTTGTTCAACTTTACGAATGTACCCATGGTATTAGAAATTGTTAGAACAATGATGAGGCAGTCCTTTAACTTAGAAATACACTTTATCATAATTCAAGACTATACATCCACTTGTTCACACATCCATAACTTGGCAGGCAACTGAAAATAGGTCTTTCCTTGTTTTTGAGCAGTCTTGCACATGTTACCAGTTCATAAACAATTTGCTATATTGATGCATGCTTTAGTTTAGTATAATTATTTTGCCCTAACAATCCCCTTCTTGAAGAGACTCTGTCTTTACTTAGTGATCTCTTCGCTAGTTATGCGTTTACGGTGGATCAGGAATGTTGCTCTTAGTATCCGTATACTCTATTCATATTGTTCTGTTGGTGATGTTTTCCTTAACTTTGTAGACCCACTTGCAGTTGATAGTTGTCGCCCCTTGTGGCAGTTCCTTTAAGTTCCATTCCTTATGTTTTCTCAGGCACTCCATTTCTTTTTCCATGGCAGCCCACCATCTGGCTGAGTCATTCAATTCTGTGGCTTTATAGGTTAAAGGCTCTACATTGTCTTTGACTATCTTTTCATCAATTGTGGCAGATTCTTCTATGTTTTTCATTCTGTACTCCTTTCTGGGTTGCCCTCTATGTTCTGTTCAAGCGATTTGTGGTTTCCCACTCGCTCTTACCAGTTCATTATTCTGCTCATTTTCACTTTCGTTCATTTCATTTTTGTCTTCATGTTTGGATGAGGTGTTTTCTTCAGGTTGTAATTGTTCCTTAATAGATTCAATGATATCTAATTCCACTTCTTTGTTATTGAGTCTTTCTCTTCTGTGGGACTTGTCATCTTCAGTCATTTCGGTATTGTCCCTTGAGTTGTTTGGGAATTCATTGATAAATTTGACATCTCTGCTTGTTATAACTCTCTTTATCTTCGTGTTTCATATACAATGCACTTTTGTTTCGCTAGAGTAGCCTAAAAATATGCATTTGGTGGATTTTTCATGGAATTTTCCTTTTCCTGGTTTCTTTCTAGTGCAAATGCCATCTCACCAAATGTCCTAAAATATTTCATTGTTGGCTTTCTACCAGTTCATAATTTGAAGGGTATGTTGCCTTCCAGGCTCTTTGATGGACATCTATTTCTAATATATGATGCAGTATATACAGCTTCTGCCCAAAAGCATTCTCTCAATCCTGCTTGGAGAAGTATGCATCTTCCCATTTCCACTAGCATTCTATTTCTACTCTCTGTGATGCTGTTTTGTTGTGGTGTGTAGCAGGCTGTTTTCTCATGCCTAATCCCTTTCTGTTTCAGGAAGACTTTAAATTCTCTATTAGTATATTCAGTTCCATTAAATTCTTTATTAGTATACTCAGTCACTTCTTATTGCCTTTATCTTTCTTCCTGTTTTATTTTTACAAAGGCTAAGTATGTTTTGAATTTTTCAAGAGCTTCACTTTTATTTTTCATGAAATATATTTTACATTATCTATCAATAGAATAATCATCAATAAACGTGATGAAATACTTTGATCTACTCAATGATGTGGTTCTCATTGGTCTACAAATGTCAGTATGGATCAGTTCTAATATTTCTCAGCATCTCTTTTTGTTTTGTTATGGAAATGGTGATCTGGTTTGTTTCTCTCTTATGCAGATCTCATGGAGTCAAGTTATTCTTTTCATCCTATGTTTAGTCATCTGACCTTTAGGTTGTTGGCCATGTGCCATGTGTCCCTTTCATTTAAGTGACCTAAACATTCATGCCACATTTTCATTTTGTTAACATTTATTCAAGAGAGTTTAGATTCCTCCCACCTTTCTTTCATATCTCCTTTAAATGCTCACATGTGTATGCTTTTGATAGTTGCCTGATTCTTTTGGAATAGTACACTGAATCCATGATCAGTTATCATCCCTACTGACAGTAGGTTGGTCCTTAGTTCTGGTATGAAGAGTGTGTTCTCCAATTTGGCTTGAAATCCTCCATTTGTTTCAATTATTACATCACCACTTACTTTGATTTCCATTGTAGATGAGTCACTTATGTAGGATGTTTCAACATTGCAAAATCTCACTTTATCATGACACACGTGTGATGAGCACCTGAGTCTAGACACCATTTATAATTTTCTCTCCCTTCATTTATTGTGATATTAACATTATATGATACCTGTTTTCGAGTTGTTAGGCTTATAGTCATAGCTCTTGGTGGTTTTCGCTTGTTTCTGTCCCAGCATTCTCTCACCTTATGGCCTATTTTGCTACAGTTATGGCATTTGAATTTGAATTGCCCCTTATTTTCCAATTGTTTCATCTGTTTTTTGCTTATATACAGTGCACCCGAATTCTGAGAGTCATCGATATCATCATTTCGTCTTCTTGCCTCATACTCTTCTATTAGCTTTATTTTGAGTGTGTCCAGCGAAAGAAGTTTCTCTTGTGTTTTGATAGTTATTTGAAATTGTTCGAATGAGTCCAGGATACTATATAGCAGTAGTGCTGTTAATAGTTCTTCATTTATGGAAATTTCCATTTCCTTTAACTTATCTTCTTCTTTGTCTGGCATTATGGGTCTTGAAGGTCCTTAGCTACTGTCACAATCTATCTCCATCTCATTCGGTCTATAGCTTGCTTCTGCCAATCTTTGATTCCGAGGTCTTGAAGATCTTTAGTGACCTCATCTGTCCACCTTTTTCTGGGACGACCTCTTGGCCTCTTCCCTTTCCTCTCATAGTGAAGCCCTCATGAAGCTGTTTCCATTATAGGAAGCCCTGTGACATGCCTAGCCACTGTAATCTTCTGGCTTTTTTCTTATCTACTATATCAAAAAAGTCTCTTACATGATCTGCTAAGTTGTCTCCTTCCCTCATTTTCTTGAGAATTAATTTCTTTAGTAGCATAGCCTTTCTTGCAGGACCTTTCGATTCGAAAATTTCATGTAGCTTATTCCATATTTTGTATGAGGTTTCACATCATTTTGTCTGTTTTAATTCTGCTGGGCTTATGGTGAGAATTATATCACACATTGTCTTCAAGTCTGATGTGTCCCATTGTTCTGCTGCCTTCATTGTACTTTCATCTCCAAGTATAATTTCTGGTTTCTTTCTTTTTCTGCTGACATATTCCCAGGAATCATTTTTGATCAGGAGTGCCTTCATCTGTATCTTCCATGTATTGAAGTTTTCTTTGCACAGTGGTTTTATTTGTATGGCTAATTGACTTATCATTTTTCTTTTGTAGGCATCATAATTCTATTTCCTTTTTAGTTGCTGTAATTCTAGTTTTTGATACTTAATTTTCCATTCCTGGGCCCACAACCATTGTTAGAACAAAGATGAGGCAGTCCTTTAACGTAGAAATAAACTTTATTCTAATCTAAGACTATACATGCACTTGTTCACACATCCATAACTTGACAGGCAACTAAAAACAGGCTGTATTCTGGTCATCGTCTCTTGTCTTTCGTCTCTCACAAGCTGGTTGCCAATTGGCTAATCATTTGTTTACATCTAGAGAGATCATCGCGTCTCTCCAAATGCGATTCTGGACAACTTTTTCTCTCGACAATTCTCTTGTTTGTCAGAGATGAGCAGATAGTTGTGTTTTGACTGGTCTGTTTGTCTTTTACCTCAATTTTGCTATATCCAATATGGACGACTGGATGTCACTTTTTTTTTTTTTTTTTAAATCCTACATTAATTACTGAACTATTGAGTATGATGTTAATCTTACTTAGATAGTTAAGGAGAAATTAGATGGTAATATTTCAAAAAATATCTAAGAACTCGCCTTTTCTAACTTAGGTTATTAAAATTTTTATTTGTTAAGAGACAAATTGACATTATAATCTGTAAAAACGTTATAAAATAAAAAACATACATTTGTCAAAATTATGTGCTTTATTTGAACACATGCTTTCCTTGCCAATTGATCTATGATTACGTACTCTGCATTTTTGAAAATTTTACAATTTCATTGGTTAAAATTCTATACTGTATTGCACACACAGATAACCTGAACATGTATAATCAACCTAGTTGAATTGTGACAACAAGAAAGACAAGACCGTTAAAAGTGACCAGAATCGCCACTGTTTCTGAGAGACAAATTTTGTCTGTTGTTTTGGCATCATTTGTCATTGAAAGAAGAGACGAGAGATAAGTGACTGGAATATGGCTCCAGGTCTCTTCTTATTTTTGAGCGGTTTTGCATGGTGTTGCCAGTTCATAGACAATTTGCTATATCAACATGTGCTTTAGTTTAGTATAATTATTTTTCTCTAACAGCATATCTTTTGACTATTTTATATGATTGAAGTTTATTTGAAAATTTTTAAAAGTTATTAAATATTACAAAATTGTTGTGTGAAATATTTGAATTTTTTTTTAACATATNGTATCCGTATACTCTATTCATATTGTTCTGTTGGTGATGTTTTCCTTAACTTTGTAGACCCACTTGCAGTTGATAGTTGTCGCCCCTTGTGGCAGCAAAATAATAAACTTTGTTTTTATTTAGAGAGAACAATTCAGAAAAGGTGCAGTATTAGCTCCTGTTGTCAATCTAAAGTCTCGAAGAGATGATCAAGATGAAATGCCACCTCCTCCAGCAATCTCAATAATTCCAAATAAAGTAAAAGCACATTATATAGTAATATGTTGAATAGTTTTCAATATTTTATTTATTTACTTAACTAATTTTTTGAAAGAACTAAATTATCATATTGAATTATTCTATTAGGAAGGTAAAAGTCCCATAACAACTGGATCATTACTTGGAGGAGAGTGGGATATTCGTCAAGAGTATGATCCTGCATGGCCTAATGATTATGAAAAAATAATGAGGGAAAAGAGAGAGAAGAAAGACAGAGATCGAGGAGATGATCGTCATAAACATTCTGAAGATAAAGATAGGTATTTATTAATTTTAATATTTTTTTATAATATGGCTCTCTTAATTATAAATTATATCTACAATACATACAAATCATTATAAATCAAATTGCTTGGTAAAAAGCATTTGATCATATTTAAAATTTTTCAAGTTTTTTTGTTGAATTTCATTATGTATTTGTTAAAAAAACTAAACATTTTTTAATGTGAATAGGATGCACACAAATTATATCTAGACTGTAAAAGTAAGAACAGTTATCATATTTAATGATGATACAATAATGATATTTCCTTTTCATGAGATGTATTAGGGATATTTACTTATTAAATCTAAAGTTTTTCAAAAGTATGAAAATTACTTATTTAAAAATAGATAAGTAAAAATATCTAATTAATCCTATTAACAAAAATAATTATTAATCTGCTAATATGAATGAAATGGAGTTATAAAGATCATTATTAATACAGATACATAACCAAATGATCACCTTAAGTAATCAGGCTATAAATCCACTATTTAATGATTAAACACTAAGTAATTTGTTACTAGAGGTAGATGTTAGGTCCCATCTCTTATCTAAATTAATAATTATAGTTTTAATAATTTATTAAATACTTTTAGAATCATCTGGGAGAAAAGAATTGGCCTTTTAATGCAGATAAAATACAAACAAGTTTGTATTTTCTGCATTAAACTACACCGGAATTGCATTTATAAGGTTCACCAGTTGTTTTTTCTAACATACTTTATTCCAGTCTTATGGGGTGTGAACTATAGATTGTCTATCTTCAGGTTGAAGGCATCATTATCATTTTTTATGGTTTGAATTATATTTATTTGGTTTCTTTCTTTGAGATTGTCAAGTTAGTTATGAGATTAATAGATTATCATAGTAAATTCAAGAGAGATTGTGTGTATTTAGTGTATTATTCTGCAATCACTACATTCAGCTGAATAGGTGTTTCTTCGTATTCATATAATGTTACTTAGAAGTGCAAAGCATAGTTTCCTCATGAAAATTGTATGTAAACAGAGTTTTAAATTTTGATGATTTTATCCCCTATTTATCTATCATGTATAAACTAATTTGTGCATTAGGTACATGCATGAAGAGACTATTTTATGATGCATAATTACTAGGCTGGTTGGAATGATGCAAATTGTGTTAATTAGTTTTCCATTTCTACATTACAATTTTTCAAATTAGAATGTAAAAGATTCTTTATAAATAATAGTAAATCTTTTCAAGTGATATAAATTTTCTACTTTTACTTTAGTAAATTTTCCACAATTTTTAAAATATTTAATCAATTAGAACTCAAAATTAATAAAGATTACATTTTATTATCATCAGATTTTTTAATAAAAAGATATTATGAAATATTTAATAAAATGTAATAATTGGGCTACAATTTATAGGTCTACAATTTTTTCAAATTGTAGACCTATAAATTTCCATGGTTATCTGTTTATCTGTCCTTCCTTAATCTCTAGAATAGTATTAGATAAATGAAAGTCAAGATCAGATATGGAAAGCTTAGAGGCAGGAAACCCCAATTAAGTATGTACAAACTTCCAGTCTAGACCAGAAGTTATGTGAATTCAATTAAAAAATTTTCCCAATTGGAGTTATATAGATGACCAGCATGACTGTTGTTATCAGGTAAAATATTATGTACAGAGACAAGATATTGCAAATTTGAGATGGTGAACATATATTTTAAATTGAATAAATTAAGAATATAATTAAAAATTGCAGCCCAGCATTGTGATGATGTCATAATAAATAACTGCTCATTTTACATATTAATTTATCTAATTTTCTCTGTGTGAAAAAGTTTAGAAAATGTATCATAATAATTATTTATTACAGAGATTCTGGTCATCCATATGGCAATAAACATGGTAGGAGAAGAAGAGAGAGAGAGAGGGATAAAGAAAGAAATAGGGAAATGATAGAAAGAAATCGTGAGGAAGAAGCTGAAGATGAGAGAGCAAATAAAAGAGGTATTTCTTTATTATTACAGATCATTTTATTAATTTACTACTATATTTTCTCAATTCTAAAATGTGCTATAAGCTTCTTGAATTTTAAGATTTTTTTTAATGGATGGAGGAAAAAATTTTTAAATAATTAACTTTATAAGTTTTGTTAAGCAACTAGTTATAACAATACAAATACTATGAAGTAGATAATATTCAGTAGCTGTATTTTCTTGTTGTTCTGCATATACAATGTTTTCTTTTAATGCTGTATCATAATGTTATCCTGGGGACATTATAAAGATTAAATTAAATGCCTATTACTAACAAAACTCACTTGAACTGATGTGAATATTAGTAGTACAGTACATCCAAAAATGATTTTTATTGGTGTATAATGCACCAATAACAACATTTACAGATGTACCAAAAGTTTTAGCATTTTGTAACACATTATCCAGATTCACATCACTTTTGGTCAAAAGTTGATATTAATCTGAATAATGTGTTATAAAATTCTGAAGTATTTCTTTACAAAAAAGAATTATCCAATACTTGTTATCTTGGGGTATGTTCGTAAAGTCAAACAAGTCAAACGCATTAGTAATGAATCATTCGAAAAGTAGTCGTCTCACTCAGTGCGCATGCTCTGCGGTGATGAAGTTTCAAACGAAACTCTAATGAAGTTCATGAAGGAAAGAGTTAGTTTACTTCGTTAAAGAAATGGCACCCAACGATATCAATGTTTCTAAATCTACTCGAGTGTTTAAATTGTGAATTAAAGGGTGAAATGATTGAAATAACTGTCCACCCGAAGCAATCTAAGAAAAATATTTCAGATAAGGCTGCACTAGTAACGTTCATATCTTCGATTTTAGAAACATCAGTTAGTTATAAACGAATCGTTCGAAAAGTCTAACAAAATAAGGATAACAATGACATCATTCTTGTTTAACTTGTTCAACTTTACGAATGTACCCATGGTATTAGAAATTGTTAGAACAATGATGAGGCGGTCCTTTAACTTAGAAATACACTTTATCATAATTCAAGACTATACATCCACTTGTTCACACATCCATAACTTGGCAGGCAACTGAAAATAGGTCTTTCCTTGTTTTTGAGCAGTCTTGCACATGTTACCAGTTCATAAACAATTTGCTATATTGATGCATGCTTTAGTTTAGTATAATTATTTTGCCCTAACAATCCCCTTCTTGAAGAGACTCTGTCTTTACTTAGTGATCTCTTCGCTAGTTATGCGTTTACGGTGGATCAGGAATGTTGCTCTTAGTATCCGTATACTCTATTCATATTGTTCTGTTGGTGATGTTTTCCTTAACTTTGTAGACCCACTTGCAGTTGATAGTTGTCGCCCCTTGTGGCAGTTTCTTTAAGTTCCATTCCTTATGTTTTCTCAGGCAATTTCTTTTTCCATGGCAGCCCACCATCTGGCTGAGTCATTCAATTCTGTGGCTTTATAGGTTAAAGGCTCTACATTGTCTTTGACTATCTTTTCATCAATTGTGGCAGATTCTTCTATGTTTTTCATTCTGTACTCCTTTCTGGGTTGCCCTCTATGTTCTGTTCAAGCGATTTGTGGTTTCCCACTCGCTCTTACCAGTTCATTATTCTGCTCATTTTCACTTTCGTTCATTTCATTTTTGTCTTCATGTTTGGATGAGGTGTTTTCTTCAGGTTGTAATTGTTCCTTAATAGATTCAATGATATCTAATTCCACTTCTTTGTTATTGAGTCTTTCTCTTCTGTGGGACTTGTCATCTTCAGTCATTTCGGTATTGTCCCTTGAGTTGTTTGGGAATTCATTGATAAATTTGACATCTCTGCTTGTTATAACTCTCTTTATCTTCGTGTTTCATATACAATGCACTTTTGTTTCGCTAGAGTAGCCTAAAAATATGCATTTGGTGGATTTTTCATGGAATTTTCCTTTTCCTGGTTTCTTTCTAGTGCAAATGCCATCTCACCAAATGTCCTAAAATATTTCATTGTTGGCTTTCTACCAGTTCATAATTTGAAGGGTATGTTGCCTTCCAGGCTCTTTGATGGACATCTATTTCTAATATATGATGCAGTATATACAGCTTCTGCCCAAAAGCATTCTCTCAATCCTGCTTGGAGAAGTATGCATCTTCCCATTTCCACTAGCATTCTATTTCTACTCTCTGTGATGCTGTTTTGTTGTGGTGTGTAGCAGGCTGTTTTCTCATGCCTAATCCCTTTCTGTTTCAGGAAGACATTAAATTCTCTATTAGTATATTCAGTTCCATTAAATTCTTTATTAGTATACTCAGTCACTTCTTATTGCCTTTATCTTTCTTCCTGTTTTATTTTTACAAAGGCTAAGTATGTTTTGAATTTTTCAAGAGCTTCACTTTTATTTTTCATGAAATATATTTTACATTATCTATCAATAGAATAATCATCAATAAACGTGATGAAATACTTTGATCTACTCAATGATGTGGTTCTCATTGGTCTACAAATGTCAGTATGGATCAGTTCTAATATTTCTCAGCATCTCTTTTTGTTTTGTTATGGAAATGGTGATCTGGTTTGTTTCTCTCTTATGCAGATCTCATGGAGTCAAGTTATTCTTTTCATCCTATGTTTAGTCATCTGACCTTTAGGTTGTTGGCCATGTGCCATGTGTCCCTTTCATTTAAGTGACCTAAACATTCATGCCACATTTTCATTTTGTTAACATTTATTCAAGAGAGTTTAGATTCCTCCCACCTTTCTTTCATATCTCCTTTAAATGCTCACATGTGTATGCTTTTGATAGTTGCCTGATTCTTTTGGAATAGTACACTGAATCCATGATCAGTTATCATCCCTACTGACAGTAGGTTGGTCCTTAGTTCTGGTATGAAGAGTGTGTTCTCCAATTTGGCTTGAAATCCTCCATTTGTTTCAATTATTACATCACCACTTACTTTGATTTCCATTGTAGATGAGTCACTTATGTAGGATGTTTCAACATTGCACAATCTCACTTTATCATGACACACGTGTGATGAGCACCTGAGTCTAGACACCATTTATAATTTTCTCTCCCTTCATTTATTGTGATATTAACATTATATGATACCTGTTTTCGAGTTGTTAGGCTTATAGTCATAGCTCTTGGTGGTTTTCGCTTGTTTCTGTCCCAGCATTCTCTCACCTTATGGCCTATTTTGCTACAGTTATGGCATTTGAATTTGAATTGCCCCTTATTTTCCAATTGTTTCATCTGTTTTTTGCTTATATACAGTGCACCCGAATTCTGAGAGTCATCGATATCATCATTTCGTCTTCTTGCCTCATACTCTTCTATTAGCTTTATTTTGAGTGTGTCCAGCGAAAGAAGTTTCTCTTGTGTTTTGATAGTTATTTGAAATTGTTCGAATGAGTCCAGGATACTATATAGCAGTAGTGCTGTTAATAGTTCTTCATTTATGGAAATTTCCATTTCCTTTAACTTATCTTCTTCTTTGTCTGGCATTATGGGTCTTGAAGGTCCTTAGCTACTGTCACAATCTATCTCCATCTCATTCGGTCTATAGCTTGCTTCTGCCAATCTTTGATTCCGAGGTCTTGAAGATCTTTAGTGACCTCATCTGTCCACCTTTTTCTGGGACGACCTCTTGGCCTCTTCCCTTTCCTCTCATAGTGAAGCCCTCATGAAGCTGTTTCCATTATAGGAAGCCCTGTGACATGCCTAGCCACTGTAATCTTCTGGCTTTTTTCTTATCTACTATATCAAAAAAGTCTCTTACATGATCTGCTAAGTTGTCTCCTTCCCTCATTTTCTTGAGAATTAATTTCTTTAGTAGCATAGCCTTTCTTGCAGGACCTTTCGATTCGAAAATTTCATGTAGCTTATTCCATATTTTGTATGAGGTTTCACATCATTTTGTCTGTTTTAATTCTGCTGGGCTTATGGTGAGAATTATATCACACATTGTCTTCAAGTCTGATGTGTCCCATTGTTCTGCTGCCTTCATTGTACTTTCATCTCCAAGTATAATTTCCGGTTTCTTTCTTTTTCTGCTGACATATTCCCAGGAATCATTTTTGATCAGGAGTGCCTTCATCTGTATCTTCCATGTATTGAAGTTTTCTTTGCACAGTGGTTTTATTTGTATGGCTAATTGACTTATCATTTTTCTTTTGTAGGCATCATAATTCTATTTCCTTTTTAGTTGCTGTAATTCTAGTTTTTGATACTTAATTTTCCATTCCTGGGCCCACAACCATTGTTAGAACAAAGATGATGCAGTCCTTTAACGTAGAAATAAACTTTATTCTAATCTAAGACTATACATGCACTTGTTCACACATCCATAACTTGACAGGCAACTAAAAACAGGCTGTATTCTGGTCATCGTCTCTTGTCTTTCGTCTCTCACAAGCTGGTTGCCAATTGGCTAATCATTTGTTTACATCTAGAGAGATCATCGCGTCTCTCCAAATGCGATTCTGGACAACTTTTTCTCTCGACAATTCTCTTGTTTGTCAGAGATGAGCAGATAGTTGTGTTTTGACTGGTCTGTTTGTGTTTTACCTCAATTTTGCTATATCCAATATGGACGACTGGATGTCACTTTTTTTTTTTTTTTAAATCCTACATTAATTACTGAACTATTGAGTATGATGTTAATCTTACTTAGATAGTTAAGGAGAAATTAGATGGTAATATTTCAAAAAATATCTAAGAACTCGCCTTTTCTAACTTAGGTTATTAAAATTTTTATTTGTTAAGAGACAAATTGACATTATAATCTGTAAAAACGTTATAAAATAAAAAACATACATTTGTCAAAATTATGTGCTTTATTTGAACACATGCTTTCCTTGCCAATTGATCTATGATTACGTACTCTGCATTTTTGAAAATTTTACAATTTCATTGGTTAAAATTCTATACTGTATTGCACACACAGATAACCTGAACATGTATAATCAACCTAGTTGAATTGTGACAACAAGAAAGACAAGACCGTTAAAAGTGACCAGAATCGCCACTGTTTCTGAGAGACAAATTTTGTCTGTTGTTTTGGCATCATTTGTCATTGAAAGAAGAGACGAGAGATAAGTGACTGGAATATGGCTCCAGGTCTCTTCTTATTTTTGAGCGGTTTTGCATGGTGTTGCCAGTTCATAGACAATTTGCTATATCAACATGTGCTTTAGTTTAGTATAATTATTTTTCTCTAACAGCATATCTTTTGACTATTTTATATGATTGAAGTTTATTTGAAAATTTTTAAAAGTTATTAAATATTACAAAATTGTTGTGTGAAATATTTGAATTTTTTTTTAACATATGAATGATTTCCTCTTTCTACTTCAGAAATTATACCTAGAAGAAAAGTAATGTTGCACCTCATATAGTATAATTGATAATGTAGCTTGTAGAGATTACAGGTTAAATTTTGCATTAAGTGATTTTCAAAATTATTAATTAAAAATCAAAAATTGTAATTACTAAATTTCTCATGATATTATCTTATCTATATTTAGACCAAGTTGTGATAATTAATTTATTAAAGATTTGTATAAAATTTATGAAATTTATTTATTGCTATAATTTTTGTAATGTACAGTTTATGTAATATATAGAAATATACACATTTAATGATAAATAATGAACTATTGTTGATCATTACATTTATATATTTTATATACCTAACTAAATAAACAGTTTAATCATATCATATCTTTTTAATACTTAATTTTCAATAGGTTTAAAAAAAACTGATTCAAAGGCATGAAATTAAATAAAATCTACATAAAATTAACATATTAATAAACTTTCTTTTGTTTTTTAACATAAATTAGTTTCAAGCAGCTTAATATTGAAATTGTATAAATAATTAATAAGATTAACTTAAATCTTAATATCGAAGAAAATAGCAAGTACACTTTCTATTCTAATATAATTGCATCTTATAAATTTATACTTGAAATATGTTATAAAGCATATTTAAATAATATGTTTACTTTAACTTAATGTTACATTACAGAAGTAATAGTTACTAAGGCTAATATATTTAATTTTTCATTAAAAAGATAGAAGGGGAGAAAAAACAAAACAAATAAACCAAAGTTTAAAAGAACTACAGGATTGAAATGTATATCCATTTGTAACAGTGAAATGTTCTAACTGTCTAAGGTGTCAAAACATATTTGTGTCAATGAAATGGTTAAAATTACTTTGAGAATAGTTAATTAATATTTTATGTTTATATACTAAATTATGGTAATGATTTTTATTTAGATAATATATTTTATAATTCTCAATTCTTTATTTGTTCTAAAAAAACCAACACAACCTGATGCAATGACTATTTAGTTTTTCAATGATATGCATTTTCAGTGTCAGTAGCACTCCTCTTCACTCATTAATCTCTCCATAAAAATACATTGATGCCATTATAACTGGTTACTATTAACATTTAATATTTCACTAATCTTAACATAGTTATATATATCCTTTCTGACAGTATTTCTCATAAACAGAAGTTTACAGTCCAAACAAGCATCTGTTACAATTTAATCAAATTAAATAGTATAATAATAATACTATAGCTTAAATTTTGGTTTGCTACATTGAAGGAAACAAATTTCAATTTTTCGATGTGTTATCAGATACATAAATTTAGATTCTTGGACTAAATATTTTAAAATTTTTATTTAAACAGTTCAAAGTTTAAAGTTAAACTTTAAACTTTGAATGTTATTTCTTGAATAAAATACTAAAAAAATGCTAAAACTTTTTATTTATAACTAATACCTTACCCATTCTTGATGAATAACTAAACGGTATACACAAAACTCATAAAAAACTAACAATAATGAATTTTAGATAAATTTTACTTTTACTTTATATATATTTTAAGTGAAGTGTGGGAATTGTCATTCCATTATATTTTATTAAATATATTATTTTACAGGATTGGGCTTTGGTGCTGCTATTGCACCTCCACCATCTCTCATGGAAACTGCAGAAAAGAAGGAACCATTACCACCACCACCTTTCAGTGGAGCATCATTTCAATCTGGTTTAGGGTATTGATTTTTTTATATTGCATTTTTATTTTATTGAAGCCAAATTATTGCTGGATTAGATCTGGCTACATTACTGCTACTATTAACAATGGTGTATATAGTGGTACCTCAGGATACGAAATTAATCTGTTCTGAAGCTGAGATCGTATCATGAAAATGTCGTAAGGTGAATCATTTTTTCCCATACGATTACATGTAAAACCAAAAAATTCATTCCAACACGAAAAACACACTCAAATTAAAGCTATGTAGTACATTAAAAAAAAATAACTATAGTAAGGAAAACACTGAAAAATGCGTTTTGTAGTTGTAAATGTATAAATAACTGTAACAGAATAATAATTGATTAAAAAATGTACGTAGTTTTATTTGCACTTTACCTTTGAGGATAGACGACGGTGGAGGTGTAAACTGGTGGCAGAGGAGAGGGAGAAGGGAAATAATACTAAAACTTAACTTACATAACATAATGCAACAATAACTTAAAAATAACTTAACACTAATTTTTTTTATTTTTTCTGTTTGATACTTTTTTAAAATTTTTTATTCACTGCTTTTTGCTTTCTTTTCTTCACTTCCACCAGCACTTTCACTAAATAGAGGTCGCTTGGTAAAATATCTATCCACAGAGGTTTGGCATTGCCTACTTTTTAAAATGTTTCTAAAATGACTTAGGCAAATGTCATTACTCCGAGCAGCAATACGGCCAGTGTGANCTTTCACTAAATAGAGGTCGCTTGGTAAAATATCTATCCACAGAGGTTTGGCATTGCCTACTTTTTAAAATGTTTCTAAAATGACTTAGGCAAATGTCATTACTCCGAGCAGCAATATGGCCAGTGTGAATCTATTCAGGATGTTTCTTTTCAATAAAATCAGTCACTTTCTGATAATACTGCGAGATTTCCTTTATTGAGCAAGATCCTTCCACGACGAAGCAAACACGCGGACTGAGACCGATGAACAGAAATGAATAAAAATGGCGCTGCGAACTAATGTAACATTGTATGGTGAGTTTTTGTTCGTATCGTGGAGCAAAATTATGTTCAAATTTTATGTCGTATCCTGAAAATTTCGTATGATGGGGCGTTCGAATCCCGAGGTACCACTGTACTATTATTAATGATAACAGTACTATAATACATATTATATTATATTATAATATATTATATATTATA